CCGACCCCGGATAAGCGGAAGAAAATGGATGGATGGATGGATGGATGTTATCATATTATATTATTACTATGTGATGTTATGTTATATCATGGTATCATATTGTATTATTATTATGTGATGTTATATCATATTATCATATGATATTATTACTATGTGATGTTATGTTATATCATGTTATCATATTGTATTATTACTATGTGATGTTATATCATGTTATCATATGATATTATTACTATGTGATGTTATCACTCAGTAAATAAATGCGAAGTGAGGCTGGAGTGAGCTCACTTTTCTTTCCTTGGTTGTTGCTGCATTTTCCATCACTACCTTATAGTTTAAGGTAGTGATGGAAAATGTTTGGTATAAGGCTTTTACCAAACATTTGTGTTGCTGAATTAGTGCATTTTGTATTTTTATGCTTCTTACCAATATGTTTCTCTTCACAATAGATGAGGGAGAAGGATGAAAAGAAAGGGATGTCTGCTGATGAGTGAAAAGAGGCAGTTCAGTGAGTATTGAATTATTGACTTAATCATTGAAGAAGAACAATTTTTATTTAACGCATCTCTTTTTCCTCACATAGAACCATCTGATACTGGCCGACGTGCTCGGACTGCACTCATCAGACTGGATCTCCAACAGCTTTGTAGGCATAATCAAGAATACCTTCTGTCCATCTTAATGAAGATTTGCTCTTAATAAGAGCTAGTTATTGTCAAGCACTTGTGCATATTGATGTACTACATTTGAATACAACTTCAGCTGCTTTTAGTTTTTTAAGATGCAAGTTAAGAGATCTTCTTTTAGAACTAAATATTCTTGTTTATGCCTATTGGTTTCATATTTTAACATATTAGGGGAACTGTGGGGTTGTCTCTAAATGAACATTTCCAGTTACTGTACTTTCTTTCCTCTTACTACCAGTTGTAGGTTCCTCTTGCGTTTGTTGTCAGTTCTCAGTGAATTGTTTATCTACAATAATAAGGATTTTTTCATCTGTTCTGTATACATTTATAAAATCTCCAGAGTTTATATTAGTTTCACACATTTTTTCTGCTTTTGTCAAATTGTTTTGTTTACTCTTCATGACACCCAAAGGCAGTAAAATGATATGATTTACACAGTTGTAATGATACGTGAGGATGTTTACAAATGGTAATCTTTGTATTAGTATTTTTGGTCAAGAACTTGATTTAACAAAGTTTTAATTCATTTTGGTTGAGGTTCTGTTTTTGTGTTAAAAGAGAGAGAGCCTGGTCAGATCAATAAAAGTCTGGAAACAAAGATATGACGGTCTGTGTCAGAACCAGTCATTTGGAGCTTACTGTGGTGAACTGTGTGGCTGGCTGGTGACAGGCTGCTGGTTTGACGTCTGCCTTGCGTCTCTGCCGGGAAGATGAAAGGGCTTACAACTTCCGCTGCTATAAAGATTGACTCTTCAAAATAAAACCGCAGTATTAAGCAATCATTTAACGCACTGTAAACACAATTGTATAGCATTTGAATGGGTTCTAATGGCAGTTTCGACCTGTGCTTAATCCCTTCCGCTACTCTAATTTGTGTTTGAAAAGTCTGTAATGAACAGAACGTGACCGTGAACCCGGAAGTTGAAACGAGCTCAGTGAGAAAACTTCTCAATCACACTCAAAGCAACCTTCAGTAATTAATAAACGTCCATACAAAAAGGAATAAAAATACTATTTTCACCCACCAGCGGCATTAGATTCATTTATGGCCAGCGAACAACTTAAAATGACGTCTTGCGTGCGCATTTATTTTGAAGGCAGATGAGTGTTTCCGGTGTAGGGGCGCATTTACTTTGAAGGCAGATGAGTGTTTCCGGTGTAGGGGCGGGAACAACAACAAAGGTTACTGCGCCCCAGGGAAGTGTCTCCTCTGGACTCCTGCACACCTGCCTTCAAGTAGAAAGACAACAGCCCAAAAGAACCACCATCGAGACGGCAGGTAGCGTGTCCTGACAGCCTGTCGCGTGTAATGTGGTAGTTTGTGTTTCCGGTGTTCATGAAGGGACGTTGTGCTGCTGCGCAGTGCTCCGTACATCCCGCCATGTCGTCCAGTCACTTCTGTTAAACTGTTTCAGAAGACGTGATAAATATGACGGGCACCGTGTGTGGTTAACTTTGTCTCAAGTTTTCGTGTTCGCCCACAGCGCTAGACTTCAAAGAGTCTCCTGTTTCAGGTGAGGAGGTGATGGAGGAGCAGGAGGAGCAGGCGGACACCCTGCAGGAGGAGCAGCTCGGTGAGGGGGGGAGCTTCAGGTCAGGTCCTCTGTGAAGTCCACACCAAACATTAATGCCTGACTCGGCACAGTTAACACATCTAGGTGTTCGTAAGAGATGAATTAAAAAACTTCAGCTTTCCATTCAACATGTTTTTATTGTCCGTCACACAGATGCTCAAATGGATTATAATCACTAATCTGCGTCAATCATCTCAAATGAGCTGTTTATCTGACAGTTTTTGAGTGGTCTGCTGCCATCCAACAAGCTGACGCTCTGTGTTCTGACCAGTGTTGCCAGGTGTTCAATAATCATCGTATTTGTACGACAATTTTGCCCTCTGTACGATGTACGATCAATAATCCCAAAAAAGGCCAAATCTACGATCATTTGACCATTCTGTGAATGTGTGGTTGTAATCGGTTCATCAGCCTCTCTCAACTGTTGAGTTTTCTTGTGAACCTGAAGTCATCTGTGTCCACAAACATGCACCAATCATGTTTTTCTACATGTGACCTACGAGTGACGCGTGTGCCTCAGAACAACGGCCATGATTGGATGAATAGTCCGCTGCGCCCCATGAGTGAGGAAAAGAGAAGAAGAAGCAGAGCCGGTCTGGAAGTGGACCCATCACCACTATAGTGCATCAATAGATTTGTTATTCTGGTTATGACGTGTGTACGATGATTTCCTCAAAATACGATAATTTTATGTCTCTAGTACGATAATCCTACATTTCTCACCTGGCAACACTGGCTCTGACACACGTCGTCGCTCTTTGTTTGCATCATAAAACACCAGCCGGCGTTCTCGTGTAATGTGCATCAGTGACCCTGTCACGGGTTCACAAGTTTTTATTTCATGGATGCTGAACAGTCGAGACTGAATTAGTTCTAGAGGTTATGACTCTTCTAAGTAATCTTCACAATTTGACCTTTGTCAGCGCTGCTCAGCCACATACAAAGACAGACTGGTCACCCACTGCCAGGACACCCCACCCACTGCCAGGACACCCCACCCACTGCCAGGACACCCCGCCCACTGCCAGGACACCCCGCCCACTGCCAGGACACCCCGCCCACTGCCAGGACACCCCACCCACTGCCAGGACACCCCACCCACTGCCAGGACACCCCGCCCACTGCCAGGACACCCACTGCCACTGCCAGGACACCCCACCCACTGCCAGGACACCCCACCCACTGCCAGGACACCCCGCCCACTGCCAGGACACCCCATTTGGACATTGAATTATTCCCTTCATCTCCTAGTTGTCATAATAAGCTTAATAATAAAATAAAAGCTTTGGCTTGGGTAGACACAGAGTGAACCTCACAGGACTGAGTGTAAGTCATGCTTTACACCAGGGCTGTTCAACTCACGGCCCACGGGCCTCTTCTGGCCTGCGGCTGACTTAAGTCTGGCTCGCCGTTGAATACATGAATAAAAATAAATACAAAAAATAAGAATGAAATCTGTAAGTGAGACCTTTAAATATTTTGAAATGGCAACTCTTTCAGAGAGGCAGTGCTGGTGAGTGCAGTAGTCCCTCGCTACTACTTGGACTTTCACGGACTCGCCGCTTGGCGTGTTTTCACCGTAAGAATGTAGACGACACACAACTGGCTGATTGATGGAAGGAAACCAACCGGAGCATTGTGCTCTGTGTCCCGGGCGCTGGTCGGCTCAGTACCTGTAGCATCAGCCGGTCTCTGTGCTCTTCTGTGAAGAAGCAACTCCCTATAACCATGTTCATCACTCGAATAAAGAGAGCTGGGTTTATTGAGCCTTAAAATATATATAAATACTCAAATAAATTAACGTCCCTACCTCAAGGATTTTCACGTATTGCGGGGGTGTCTGGAACGTAGACCTCTCACTAAAAACCACTGAGGAAATGAGCGCCCTGCCAAGAACATGGAGGATGTTTGCTGGAGCCCGGATCGTATTCACCAACATGTTCCTCATCTCGGGCGACGTGGTGGAGCTGCCTACGCTCAACGAGAAAGTTGAGATTGAATCCCATCTGGGGGATCCTTCTGAGTGGTTTACATGTTCTCTCTGCTGCGTGGGTTTTCTCCAGTTTCCTCCCACAGACCAAAAACATGCATGTTGGGCTGATGGTGACTCTGAACTGACTGTAGGTGTGAGTGAGAGGTTGTTTGTCTCTATGTGTCCCTGTGATGGACTGGAGACCTGTCCCCCGCCTCTCACACAGTGATAGCTGGACATGGGTACAAGTGATCCCCGTGGTCTGAAAGGAAGAAGCAGGTAAAAGATGATGGATGTTCTTCATCACCTTTTTTGCCTGCGACAGATGAAACACAAATCTCCAGACGTTGAGTACTTCTCAGTTAATAGATTTCAGTAAATTGTTGACCAACTTTCTGTAAACTTTGTGAAAGCCTAATAGTCTACAGTATGCAGGGCTGCGTGTGTTGCGAGAGGTGTTTACGGTCGCTGCACGGTGGCAGGTGGATTATGTTTCCTAATGGGTCATAACTGATGCGGATTTGGAAAACAAAAGACAATGGCTGGGAACAGAGCAGTTGTGTGGGCAGGGAGTTTGTTTTAACGTTCTCACGTGCACGGTGCTTTCTCAGCCTTTAATAGGCCTTTGTTATGACATTTATAATAAGATTAGTTTTAGTGCACAATGACTGCTTGTAGTAGACGAAGGAAGCACTTCCCTGATCACGCTGCCGGGCCGTGCAGCACTCAAACCCTCGAGCCGTTCAGCCGGTTGACTCTCCTGGCAACAATTGTTGCTCCTGTGCGTCCTTTTAGATCAATATTTTTTTGTTCATTCAGAAAGACATTTTTTAGCTTCAATACTTTGGTATTCAAGAGAACGTCTGTCCCCATCAGAGTTAATACCTTGAGCCAGAATGGATGAAATTAGTCAGCTGCTCGGCACCGTGGGGCGCGTCCGCAGTGACACCCTTTCATCCGACGCCACACAGTCAACAGGAAGCAGAGTGGCTCTTCGCCATCGGCTCAGCCAGCTAATGACCTGCGTGGATGACCTGGACCCCACAAACAGGCTGCATGAGAAAATGGTCAAGACCCTGGACAATGCCGTCCTCGCCTGTGCTAAGAAGCCAAAGAAGGACGGCTTCAGGTAGACGCTGGTGCAGCCTCACGTCTTTTTACTGAGTTCACAGAAGAAGAATACTACTCTGTCTTTTCACTGAATAGTTTTCTGTGGGTCCAGTGACCTGCCTCATCACCGGCCAACACGTTCGTTTCATACTTGAAGTCTTTCAGTGAACATACTGGTCTGTTATAGAATATTCACTACATGCTGTGACTTTTAGTCAAACACTGGTTTGGACTGTGAAAGAACCTGTTTGATTGGAAGGCTCAAGGTTTGTGATTGATTTATTATTTTAGATTTTAGATCATAGATGTGTGAAGAGACTTGAACAGTGTTTTAAAGACCAAAGCTTTTGCCACAAACTGGCCTTTGTCCTCACTGGTTTCTCATGAGTTTTAGTGACCACGACCTTCTAACTTCTCAGTAAAACTTACTGTGACTTTTGAGTTCAGGGGTGTCAAGCAAATTTAAAGAAGGCCAAAATTAAAAACCTGTTTAGGTGTCTGCTAGGGCTGCACCGATTGTAGTTTTCTGGCCGATCACAGATTTCTAAAAAGTCTGAGCTGCCGATACTGATTTTGTTTTCTAAGCGACACTGTCAGGAGTTATAAGGTCACAATGCACCTTCAATTTTCCAATATTATTTTATTGAAAAACATACCATCATCATCATCACCTTTATTAAAGACACAATTAGGCCTATATAAAAAAACAAAAAGCAAATAGATAATATAAAAAGATTAAAAAATAAAAGATCACAAATGTAAGTGAGAGATTTACAAAAAGGCTGAAACGCCAGTGGTTCCACATTCTGGACTTAAACCTGACTGAGCTCTGTGCAATATCCGTTAGCATCAGGATGATGTTATTTGTAGAATCACGTAATCTCCACATAAACCTGTACATAATGTTACGTAATGCAGTGTAAAAAGTGGAGACGCCAACAAATAACTGACTTGCACTAGTCCACCTCAGCATGCTAAGCAGCATCGTCCCGTCATTATATGCCACTTTGAGTTTCTGTATACTGCTTTGCTTGTATCGTCTCCACAAGTGGGCAGTATACAAAGGAGTGCAGTGTGCTATAAAAAGAGCCACTTTCATTGATACTATTCAAACAGTCCACACTAGGACTAAGCCCCTCCATTTGCAACTGGGTACTAGACTT